CACTACACTTTTTTAAAATAAGCGCAAAAACAAAAACAAAACAACTCTGACAGTAGCTCGGTTAGCATCATGGATCTATGGGGTTAGCATCATGGATCTATGGGGTTAGCATCATGGATCTATGGGGTTAGCATCATGGATCTATGGGGTTAGCATCATGGATCTATGGGGTTAGCATCATGGATCTATGGGGTTAGCATCATGGATCTATGGGGTTAGCATCATGGATCTATGGGGTTAGCATCATGGATCTATGGGGTTAGCATCATGGATCTATGGGGTTAGCATCATGGATCTATGGGGTTAGCATCATGGATCTATGGGGTTAGCATCATGGATCTATGGGGTTAGCATCATGGATCTATGGGGTTAGCATCATGGATCTATGGGGTTAGCATCATGGATCTATGGGGTTAGCATCATGGATCTATGGGGTTAGCATCATGGATCTATGGGGTTAGCATCATGGATCTATGGGGTTAGCATCATGGATCTATGGGGTTAGCACATAGAGGTTAGCACATAGAGGTTAGCACATGGATCTATGGGGTTAGCACGTTATTATAATAGATCCATGGGTTAGCATCATAGACTGTAACATTAGCATTAGCAACACACACGGAGACACTTACAGCCTGTTCTTCTCAGACCATGATCCTCTGCTGCTTCCTGTGGACTCGGACTTTCCCATAAAACGTCAGATGCAGATGATTTGGTTTAATATTTATCAAAAGGGGAAATATGACAGAAGCTACAGTGTCACGTGTTCTTCTTTTGGTAAATAATGCAGAGTGAGCGCGCGAGGTCCTCTAGTGTCCAGGCGTGGAACTACACCATCCACAACCGCTACATCCGTGGCCATAGCTCAGTACATACACAACAAGGCAACTCATAAATAATCACAGTACATTAAAAAAAGGAAATATACAATCCTTCAGTTGTGGCACAGCTAAAGAGAACTGTTTTTCACCTGGATTTGAACAGTGTCAGAGTCGAAGACTGTCTCACATTTTCAAGAAGACTGTTCCAGATTTTAGCTGCTTGAATCTGAATTGCTGCCTCCCCATGTTTAGCCCTGACTCTGGACACCAGCAGAAGGCCAGTCCCTGTGCTCCTCAGAGTCCCAGCAGGAGGCCAGTCCCTGTGCTCCTCAGAGTCCCAGCAGGAGGCCAGTCCCTGTGCTCCTCAGAGTCCCAGCAGGAGGCCAGTCCCTGTGCTCCTCAGAGTCCCAGCAGGAGGCCAGTCCCTGTGCTCCTCAGAGTCCCAGCAGGAGGCCAGTCCCTGTGCTCCTCAGAGTCCCAGCAGGAGGCCAGTCCCTGTGCTCCTCAGAGTCCCAGCAGGAGGCCAGTCCCTGTGCTCCTCAGAGTCCCAGCAGGAGGCCAGTCCCTGTGCTCCTCAGAGTCCCAGCAGGAGGCCGGTCCCTGTGCTCCTCAGAGTCCCAGCAGGAGGCCAGTCCCTGTGCTCCTCAGAGTCCCAGCAGGAGGCCAGTCCCTGTGCTCCTCAGAGTCCCAGCAGGAGGCCAGTCCCTGTGCTCCTCAGAGTCCCAGCAGGAGTCCAGTCCCTGTGCTCCTCAGAGTCCCAGCAGGAGGCCAGTCCCTGTGCTCCCCAGAGTCCCAGCAGGAGTCCAGTCCCTGTGCTCCTCAGAGTCCCAGCAGGAGTCCAGTCCCTGTGCTCCTCAGAGTCCCAGCAGGAGTCCAGTCCCTGTGCTCCTCAGAGTCCCAGCAGGAGGCCAGTCCCTGTGCTCCTCAGAGTCTGAGTTGGTCCTTATGGCACTCAAAGTAAACCATGGAGAAATAATGAAATACATTTTCTCATTTAAAGTTGACTAATTTCAAGTGCATTTGTATGGAGGACCGTGGCTGCCAAAACAATAAATATATACAGAAATTAATTAATTAATTTAAAAGAGATAAAATTTGCAAAGAAATGCATGCAATTATGAGAATAAGTGCATTTATTTCTGTATTTCTGTATTTATATATTTATTTATTTATTTCTCTATTTATTTATTTATTTCTCTATTTATTTCTCTATTTATTTCCGTATTTCTGTATATATTTATTGTTTTGGCAGCCACGGTCCTCCATACATTTGAGTTGTTTATTAGATTCCAGGAAGATGAGAGGATCGCCGGCGGCACGGTGGCTGAGTGGTTAGCACTCTCGCCTCTCAGCAAGAAAGTCGGACCAGGGCCTTTCTGAGTGGAGTTTGCATGTTCTCCCCGTGTCTGCGTAGGTTTCCCCTACCACTAAAAACATGTACAATTGATCTGGCATGCGCCTCCTGTACTGACCCCTCCCATTAAAAAAACAATTGTAAACCGCTTTGACTCTGGTCTGTGAAAGGCGCTATACAAATAAACATTACTTACTTACTTCATTTTTGTATCTGTCACTAGTTTTCACACTTATTTATTTTTAGCCTTTGTCACATCTTTAGATCCACTTTTCACAGCCCAAAGTGTCAAACAGTGACTTAATGAAGATGACAAGGGCATTGTGGTGTTACTTTTACAAGTTAATTAAAGAAAGTTCGTTATCCCATGAGCCCTTGCAGCTAATGATCCTATTGTGCATATGTAAATTAACGGACATGTGATGGGTTTGTTTTGTGCATATTTTAACTATAGCTGTGATAAAGTCATAGTTGATCATTTTAGTCCAAAAACTGTTTGAAATCTAATCATTTTGGGTTTAACAAAATAAATGCATCTGAGTCACTGGAGCTCACGATGCATAATGTATGAGAGAGGTATAGTCCATCAGGTCGATAAGAAACACGCCCTGACGAGACACTTACTGTAATGAAAACTTATAATCTGTTCACGTTGTAATGGCATTTATTTGTTTATGTTAATTTATGTATATGTAATTGTTTTTATTTTAATTGCTTTTATCTGAAGTTGGCAGACTTATATATTTAAATGTGTTACTTTTATCTGTGCAGCACTGTGCAGGACATTTTCTTCCCCTCAATCCATTTCTGGGTTGGGGGTGGCAGTCAGAGCACCAGCCCCTCACTGATCCTCCTGCAGGTGCTGAGTCCACAGGAGCTGAGATCTTTCAGTGGGGGCTTCAGGCAAAGTGGGGTTAAGTGTCTTGCCCAAGGACACAACAACAGCAGTCATCAGTGGGAGTCGTGAAGTAGGTCTTATGGTGGGCTCGAACCCACAACCTTCAGGCTCAAAGGCCAATGCTCTACACACTGAGCTACTGTCGCCCAAGTGGATTGGATTGTGGATTATTACATATATTATATAGGGTAACCCTAACCCAAATATACAAATATTTTTGACAAAGTTAGAATAAAAAACAGCTTGAAAAAGAAGTGCTTCAGTCCAAATATTTCTTTATGAACGTGTTGAAGAAAGAGGTCACATCAGACAGGACGACAATTATGTGAAATGTAAATGTAGTATGTAATGTTTTGTCATATCCACAATTGGAATGAATAAATAATATTTGACGGATTAGCTGTTTTGATCCTGAAAGTGAGCGAATGATCAAAACAATCACATCTGAAATAATAACAGCAGACATGTAACCATTAGTACAGGCAATTCACTCATTGCTTTGTAAATATCTTACTATTATCTTCTTATTGTATGATAGATATGTTCTTGTTGCACAATGTCCCTGTCAACTAAACTAATAACATTAATTAATTAATTGATAAACAAGTGAAGTCAAGATTAGACATTACAGAAATCCATATCTATACTTTATTTTAATGTAATGTCCTATGGTCCTACTGTCGGTCTGTGGTCCTACTGACAGTCTGTGGTCCTACTGACAGTCTATGGTCCTACTGACAGTCTGTGGTCCTACTGTCGGTCTGTGGTCCTACTGACAGTCTGTGGTCCTACTGACAGTCTGTGGTCCTACTGACAGTCTATGGTCCTACTGACAGTCTGTGGTCCTACTGTCGGTCTGTGGTCCTACTGACAGTCTGTGGTCCTACTGACAGTCTGTGGTCCTACTGACAGTCTATGGTCCTACTGACAGTCTGTGGTCCTACTGTCGGTCTGTGGTCCTACTGACAGTCTGTGGTCCTACTGACAGTCTGTGGTCCTACTGACAGTCTGTGGTCCTACTGACAGTCTGTGTGGTCCTACTGACAGTCTGTGGTACTACTGACAGTCTATGGTCCTACTGACAGTCTGTGGTCCTACTGACAGTCTGTGGTCCTACTGACAGTCTGTGGTCCTACTGTCAGTCTGTGGTCCTACTGACAGTCTGTGGTCCTACTGACAGTCTATGGTCCTGATAGTCTATGGTCCAACTGACAGTCTGTGGTCCTACTGTCAGTCTATGGTCCTACTGTCAGTCTATGGTCCTACTGACAGTCTATGGTCCTGATAGTCTATGGTTCTACTGATAGTCTATGGTCCAACTGACAGTCTGTGGTCCTACTGACAGTCTGTGGTCCTACTGTCAGTCTATGGTCCTACTGTCAGTCTATGGTCCTACTGACAGTCTATGGACAGTCTATGGTCCTACTGACAGTCTGTGGTCCTACTGATAGTCTGTGGTCCTACTGACAGTCTATGGTCCTACTGACAGTCTTTGGTCCTACTGACAGTCTATGGTCCTACTGACAGTCTATGGTCCTGACAGTCTATGGTCCTGACAGTCTGTGGTCCTACTGACAGTCTGTGGTCCTACTGACAGTCTGTGGTCCTACTGACAGTCTGTGGTCCTACTGACAGTCTGTGGTCCTACTGACAGTCTATGGTCCTACTGACAGTCTTTGGTCCTACTGATAGTCTATGGTCCTACTGACAGTCTTTGGTCCTACTGACAGTCTTTGGTCCTACTGACAGTCTGTGGTCCTACTGATAGTCTATGGTCCTACTGACAGTCTGTGGTCCTACTGACAGTCTGTGGTCCTACTGACAGTCTATGGTCCTACTCACAGTCTATGGTCCTACTGACAGTCTATGGTCCTACTGACAGTCTATGGTCCTACTGACGTAACAATAAAACTGAGATATTCGACACCTATTTTGCTTTTTTGCCGTTGGGTTTGGCAAAGCAGAACTCAGCGTGGGTGCCGAAAACTCTGTCCCAGTGGCCGAAGTGAGGAGCAAAGTTGCTGGTTGGTTTCTGGTGGTGGACGTCGTGCATGCTGGGACCTCCGTACGCGCCAAAGGGAACGATGCGTGAGCAGGACCAGGGGAAGTCATAACCGCAATGATCTTCCACCGAAACGTAGACGTGCACCACCATAAAGACCCAGGTGGTGAGGAGATGCGACTTCAGCAGGATCGGATTCAGGGTGGTCCAGAAGCCGACGGTGAGAAGCTCCCACGCTCCGAGACACTGCGTGGCGAGCGCAAAGGGCGACGAGTACTTGTGATGGATTGCGTGGAACGTCACATACAACCAGCGGATGCGATGGTGCAGCAAGTGCCAGATGTAGTATTGGAAATCAAAGAGGAGAAGATTCCCAACGATGCCAGCTGCGAACTCGGGCAGAGCTGGGGCTGATTCCGGGAGGTCCACAGGAGGTCTCCACGCCCATTGCGCCACAGATGCAGGGAAGACCAAAAACAAGTGGTTCTTCAAAGTTACCCCGGCGCAGTGCAGCATGGTAGAGCAGGTCGGGCGGACGCTAGGCTGCAGTTTGAACCTCTGCACCCACGGCCATTTGTCACCCATAATATCACATATGACATAAGGGACGCAGAAGATGAAATAGGAGGATACGGTGAGAATGACGGGGAAGAGGGGCGACCTCATGTAGTCCTTATAGTGAAGCTGGAGCGCGTCCCAAAGAGGCTGCAGCAGCGATTCATTGGGGAAATAGTTGATCAAAATGTGACGAGGGTTATCGAGCAGGTCCATGATGGCAAAAGGCTGAAGTGGAATGTTCTGGTGCGGCCGGGTCGCTGTGGCAGAGGCCGATCAGGTGTCACTCCACACACACTAATTATTTATGCTTCAGCTGCACAGGTAACGGATTTCAGGCCAAGAAGGTGAGGCTTGTATAAAGTTATGCAAGGGTTTTCCGACAATATCTAGATACGTTTTGGCATATTGTGTATAAACTCCCAGAATGCTGATGCTCCTTCCATTTTTACTGCTTAAATCAATGGAATTCTGAGTAATGTTCAGTTTTCCACCAGTTCTATTATAAAAGGTTTTCATCTTACCCATAACTCATCTACGTGCTAACTGGTTGATATAATTTTAAATGCAGCAAAACAGATTAGGGGCCTCCAACCAGGAGCTTCCAGTAGCTCACCACCCTCTTTCAAGTAGCTCCCCAAAAGGATTCAGGAAGTTAACACATCATTCTGAATTATTAAATGTTGAGTAATTTAAGTATCTCTGAATGAAAACTGTTGGAGACTTCGGGTTTAAAGGGTCTCCAAAGGGCATGGAGACCTTATCACCACTGTACATGGAGTAACTACATGTAAAGCGCCCAAAAAGGCACTGTATAAAACCATTGCATTATTGTTATCATATACAGTACTATTATGTCTTTTCTTGTTTGTTGGAGAGCCAATTGAAAGCCTTACCCCATTTTTTGAGTAGTGCAAACTCCATAGATCCATAGAAGTGAAAGAAATCAGCAGTCTCACACATGTACCATATTCTTTAGCAGTATTTTATCTTTAAAATAGTTTCAATATTGCTTGATTGTTGTGAGACTCTGAAGCTGAACCGGCCTAACTGGAGACTCGACTGGAGGTTTCACTGTCCGTCATGTAAGCTACTTGATTCCGGTGTAAGGTAAGAGCCTGGGACTAAGCCGGTTTTTCCATTGCATTGGACGGTCCACCATCCGTCTTCTCCGCACGCTGTCACCACAACCGACTCACCAACGCACACAGTCAGCTCATCCTCTCCCTGAACACACACAGAAGACACACAATGAAAATATGTTTGGCTACACACTGCATGATCACACAGTGGTATACTCTCACAACAAATCTGTACACACTGAGATATGTGTGTGCGTTTGAGAGAGTGAGAGAGTGAGAGAGACCGAGAGAGAGAGACAGAGAGAGAGGCCGAGACAGAGAGAGAGAGAGAGAGAGAGAGAGACAGATACAGAGAGAGAGAGAGACAGAGACAGAGAGAGACTGAGAGAGACAGAGAGAGAGACAGAGAGAGAGGCCGAGAGAGAGGCCGAGACAGAGAGAGAGAGAGAGAGAGAGACAGATACAGAGAGAGAGAGAGACAGAGACAGAGAGAGACTGAGAGAGAGAGACAGAGAGAGAGACAGAGAGAGAGGCCGAGACAGAGAGAGAGAGAGAGAGAGAGAGACAGAGAGAGAGGCCGAGACAGAGAGAGAGAGAGAGCGAGAGAGACAGAGACAGAGACAGAGAGAGGCAGAGGCCGAGAGAGAGGCAGAGGCCGAGAGAGAGACCGAGACAGAGAGAGAGACCGAGACCGAGAGAGAGACAGAGAGAGAGGCAAAGAGACAGAAGCCGAGAGAGAGACAGAGAAAGAGGCAGAGAGACAGAAGCCGAGAGAGAGACAGGCAGAGACAGAGAGACCGAGACAGAGAGAGAGACAGAGGCAGAGAGAGATAGAAAGAGACAAAGGCCAAGAGAGAGGCAGACAGAGAGAGGGACAGAGAGAGACAGTTAGAGAGATATAGAGAGAGACAGAGGGAGAGACAGAAAGAGAGATAGAGAGAGAGAGAAAGAAAGGTAGACAGAGAGAGACAGAAAGAGAGAGAGAAAGGCAGACAGAGAGAGACAGAAAGAGAGAGAGAGAAAGGTAGAGAGAGAGACAGAAAGAGAGAGAGAAAGGCAGACAGAGGGAGAGACAGAAAGAGAGATAGAGAGAGAGAGAAAGAAAGGTAGACAGAGAGAGACAGAAAGAGAGAGAGAAAGGCAGACAGAGAGAGACAGAAAGAGAGAGAGAGAAAGGTAGACAGAGAGAGAGACAGAAAGAGAGAGAGAAAGGCAGACAGAGAGAGACAGAAAGAGAGAGAGAGAAAGGTAGACAGAGAGAGAGACAGAAAGAGAGAGAGAAAGGCAGACAGAGGGAGAGACAGAAAGAGAGATAGAGAGAGAGAGAAATAAAGGTAGACAGAGAGAGACAGAAAGAGAGAGAGAAAGGCAGACAGAGAGAGACAGAAAGAGAGAGAGAGAAAGGTAGACAGAGAGAGAGACAGAAAGAGAGAGAGAAAGAGAGACAGAAAGCGAGAGAGAGAGTGAGAGAAAGGTAGACAGAGAGAGAGAGAGAGAGAGAGAGAGAAAGGTAGACAGAGAGAGAAACAGAAAGAGAGAGAGAGAGAGAGAGAAAGAGAGAGAGAAAGAATCACATATACACAGGTGTATTTTACTAAAGCGGTCTCTGCTCCTTTGGGACCAATGGCTCTGTGTGTTTTCTATCTTTGGATCACTTGTGTTTGATTTTCTGATCTGTGTTGGAGAATCAACAGTTTTGAAAACTACTGTTGTGATTTATGGCAGAATTGAATCTGCATTTATTACTAATATTGTTTTTATTTTTTTTTAGAACACATCACATTCCCAAAGAGAAAATTGTCTCGGGTTCATGTTTAGTTTTTTCATTTTTAAAATATTTGTTTTGGATCAAACATCATGTGACTCTTCCTCAAGTTATAATGTAAACTATTAAAGAAGAGGACTCCTTTTTCTCAGGTGAATGTCTAATACCAAACACGTTAATAAGACTAAAGAAAACAAATGTTATCTTTGACAAACTAGAACAACGTTTGTGGGTCACTATTTGACATTTTGGGCTGAGACATGATCTGAAAAAGATTATTTCAAAGTGAAACAGAGACAAAAATGACTACATATAACCAAACTGTACATATATAACCAAACTATTTTGAGAGCAAGAAACTAGTAAACTCAATTGTTTTAGAAAGTTGTATTATTTTGATTTAAAAGTATCAAAATAATAGAATTAGAAATAGGTATTTATTTATGTTTGTATGAATGATGCATTTTCTGCTGCTGGACGCCTTCATTTCTCCAATGGGATCAATATTGTATCTACCTACCTATCTATCTATCCATCAATCTATCTATCTATCTATCTACTGTATCTACTGTATCTATCCATCTATCTACTGTATCTACTGTATCTATCTATCTACTGTATCTATCTATCTATCTACTGTATCTATCTATCTATCTACTGTATCTATCTATCTATCTACTGTATCTATCTATCTATCTATCTACTGTATCTACTGTATCTATCCATCTATCTACTGTATCTACTGTATCTATCTATCTACTGTATCTATCTATCTACTGTATCTACTGTATCTACTGTATCTATCTATATCTACTGTATCTACTGTATCTATCTATCTATCTACTGTATCTACTGTATCTATCTATCTATCTATCTATCTACTGTATCTACTGTATCTATCTATCTATCTACTGTATCTACTGTATCTATCTATCTATCTACTGTATCTATCTATCTACTGTATATATCCATCTATCTATCTACTGTATCTATCCATCTATCTATCTACTGTATCTATCTACTGTATCTACTGTATTTATCTATCTACTGTATCTATCTATCTACTGTATCTATCTATCTATCTACTGTATCTATCTATCTATCTACTGTATCTACTGTATCTATCTATCTATCTACTGTATCTACTGTATCTATCTATCTATCTACTGTATCTATCTATCTATCTACTGTATCTATCTATCTATCTACTGTATCTATCTATCTATCTACTGTATCTATCTATCTATCTACTGTATCTATCTATCTATCTACTGTATCTATCTATCTATCTATCTACTGTATCTATCTATCTATCTACTGTATCTATCTATCTATCTACTGTATCTACTGTATCTATCTATCTATCTATCTACTGTATCTATCTATCTACTGTATCTACTGTATCTACTGTATCTATCTATCTATCTACTGTATCTACTGTATCTATCTATCTATCTACTGTATCTACTGTATCTATCTATCTATCTACTGTATCTACTGTATCTATCTATCTATCTTCTGTATCTACTGTATCTATCTATCTATCTATCTATCTACTGTATCTACTGTATCTATCTATCTATCTACTGTATCTACTGTATCTATCTATCTATCTACTGTATCTATCTATCTATCTACTGTATATATCCATCTATCTATCTACTGTATCTATCCATCTATCTATCTACTGTATCTATCTACTGTATCTACTGTATTTATCTATCTACTGTATCTATCTATCTACTGTATCTATCTATCTACTGCATCTATCTATCTATCTACTGTATCTATCTACTGTATCTACTGTATTTATCTATCTACTGTATCTATCTATCTACTGTATCTATCTATCTATCTGATTCTACTGTATCTACTGTATCTATCTATCTACTGTATCTACTGTATCTATCTATCTATCTACTGTATCTACTGTATCTATCTATCTATCTACTGTATCTACTGTATCTATCTATCTATCTACTGCATCTATCTATCTATCTACTGTATATATCCATCTATCTATCTACTGTATCTATCCATCTATCTATCTACTGTATCTATCTACTGTATCTATCTATCTATCTATCTATCTACTGCATCTATCTATCTATCTACTGTATCTATCTATCTATCTACTGTATCTACTGTATCTATCTATCTATCTACTGTATCTATCTATCTATCTACTGTATATATCCATCTATCTATCTACTGTATCTATCCATCTATCTATCTACTGTATCTATCTACTGTATCTACTGTATTTATCTATCTACTGTATCTATCTATCTACTGTATCTATCTATCTACTGCATCTATCTATCTATCTACTGTATCTATCTATCTATCTACTGTATCTACTGTATCTATCTATCTATCTACTGTATCTATCTACTGTATCTATCTATCTACTCTATCTATCTATCTATCTACTGTATCTATGTATCTATCTACTGTATCTATCTATCTACTGTATCTATCTATCTATCTACTGTATCTATCTATCTACTGTATCTATCTACTGTATCTATCTATCTACTGTATCTACTGTATCTATCTATCTACTGTATATATCTATCTATCTATCTACTGTATCTATCTATCCATCTATCAAAGTTAGGTATCCGAGCTTTAAAGTGCACGTGTTATGAACCCACCTGGGCCATGTAGTCGTACATGACTTTGAACTTGTGCTGGTCTTGTTCTGGATGTCCCGGGATAGAGGCGTAGACGGCGTCTGTGGACTCGGCTACAACAGAACATAACACACACAGACTTAAATCTACTGCAGAAGAAGTCAAACCCATGGAACAATAATAGTCTCAGGTGAATAACAATAGTCTCAGGTGAACAATAATAGTCTCAGGTGAACAACAATAGTCTCAGGTGAATAATAAAAGTCTCAGGTGAACGGGGGAGACTTCTCAGACACGCATTAGACATGACAAAAGACTTGTGTAGACAGTGAAGGTGTTACCGATGATCTGTGGCACAGGCTCAGGGTTCACTTTGAATGCTGTGTTCTGAAGAAGATCAGAAAACCTGCAGCGTTAGAGAAAAATATATGTATTATTAAAGGTTATAAAACTAAAACAGAAATTATATTATTACAATTCCATCCATCTGACCTTTTCATCACACCAACAAATCTGCTGCTTCCAAGTTTTTCAGTGGAAATGTCATTTTGGTAGAAGTTTTGGAAAACAATGGGAGCTTTTGCAGAAGTACAACAAGAAACACACAATGGTTTATCTGTTTCAAAAGTACATTATTCAAATTTAGATAAAAATCAGGATGTTCTGTCTGACCTGGAGGAGTGGAGCCGGTGCGGCGCAGCTCTACGAAGCTATTGTTGTCCTCGGTCGCGTCGCACTTTTCTAAAATCATCCTTATGTTCTCGTAGCACTATAAAAAATACAATAGGCTTAAAACAATTGAATCAGCGTTTGAAAAGGAATCTATAAAGAAATAAAAAAATATATAAATAAATAAAAATAATATTAATAAAAATAATAATACTACCTGAAAATTAAAAAAAACATTATAAATAAAAACAAAAAATGAATGAAAAAACAAAAAAAACGTAAAAAAGTATAAATAAAAAATATTAATAAAAAAACATAAAATACAACAATAAATAAAAACAAATAAATGATAAATAAAAATAAATGAATGAAAATAAATAAAAATATATACAAATAAATAAAAATCATTTTATTTCATGGCGCCTTTCAAGACACTCAAGGACACCTTACAATAGATTAAAAATATAGAATAAAACATCACACACAATAGATTAAAAATACAGAATATAAAACATGTAAAGTATTGCAAAGAAAAGGCCAATGTAAAAATGTGGGTTTTTCGATGTGATTTGAAGAAGTCCACCCACCTCATCGTCTCTCACACACTGACTGGATAAATGGTTCGAGTGAGTCCACATAGCGTTTCTGAGAATGTTGATGCGATCTTCTTCCTGCTGTTGAAAAATCTGCCAAAAGAGTACAACAGTATTAATATATTCACTATGAGCAGAACTCAACCTCAGTTTCCTGTGGGGCTTGTGGTGCGGTTAACGAAGGGAGAATTTACGATCCAACTGAAAACATGATCACGGCTTTTTATAACACCTGCTGTGAGAAATACATTTTTGTCACAAAGAAATGACTCTAAACACAGTAATGGAACCTCCCAACGCAGGACCAGCTCAAAAATTTAAAACAAGGCTATATCTGTTATAGTGGGGAAATTTCAGTGGTGCATCACATGATACAGTAAGAATGAGGAGCACACAAGATAAATGAATAATATCTCTAAACTAAAATAAAACAAAATGTCTAATAAAAACTCTCATTAGCATAATAAGGAAAGACGGCTAAAATGTTCATTCCTAGCACCATCATAATCCGCTTTTAAATCACTTTTATCGAACAGCTTTTAACTGTTAGTTTTGTCTTTCTTCTTGTACTTCCTGTCTGCTTTGTCTTCCTGCATCTGTTCTATGAAGGTTATTTTGTGTTTTTATTATCAACACTTTTTTTTGCTTTTGAATGATATAAAACTAAAACAAAAGTATTCAGTGTATGTTTTAAAATTGAGGGTTCAAATATTCATTCATTCATTTTCTACCCCTTTATTTGTCCTCTACCAACTGAGCCACTGTCGCCCCAAAATATTCGTCAAAATATTCAATGTTTTAAAATTCAGTGTCCAAAAATTAGTTGCCAATTTTTTCGCTGGTTGAAATATCATTTACACCCACACACACACACTCTCTGTGTGTGTGTGTGTGTATGTCTCTCACACACACATACTCATGCAGAGAGACATACATATACACACACACATCTATCTGTATGTGTTTGTCTCTATGTGTATGTGTGTATGACTATGTAAGGAAGTATGACCACATTAGTCCTGACTAGAACCAGGAAGTACGACCACAATAGTCCAGTCCTCAGGTCTCTGCACTGGCTTCCTGTGGCTCAGAGAATAGACTTTAAAACAGCTCTGCTTGTTACAAGTCTCTCCATGGCCTTGCACCAAAATATATTAGTGACATGTTAGTCCCATATGAACCAGCCCGGACTCTGAGGAGCACAGGGACTGGACTCCTGCTGGGACTCTGAGGAGCACAGGGACTGGACTCCTGCTGGGACTCTGAGGAGCACAGGGACTGGACTCCTGCTGGGACTCTGGGGAGCACAGGGACTGGACTCCTGCTGGGACTCTGGGGAGCACAGGGACTGGACTCCTGCTGGGACTCTGAGGAGCACAGGGACTGGACTCCTGCTGGGACTCTGAGGAGCACAGGGACTGGACTCCTGCTGGGACTCTGAGGAGCACAGGGACTGGACTCCTGTTAGTGCCCAGAGTCAGAACTAAACATGGGGAGGCTGCTTTTCAGATTCATGCTGCTAAAATCTGGAACAAACTTCCTGAAGATGTTTAAAACCAGGTTAAAAACAGTTCTGTTTAGAAGTGCATACAAATGAGGGATTTTATATTTTTATCTTTCTTTTTAATGTTCTGTGATTATTATTTATTTCTTGTTTTGTTCAGCATTTTTGAGTTTCTTTGTGTATGAATTGTACTATACAAATAAACTTAACTTGCCTTTTTTTTCAGCCAAGGGTGGTTTTTAGGGGTGTGAGGGCCCTCGCCAACCCCCACGGGCAAGCGCAAAATCTATAGGCAAGGGTGCTTTTAAAAAGGGCTAGAGTAAGAATTGTAACGGGTATGGTTCTATAACATGATCTATAATAAAACACAAACACAGCATGGCAACACCTTTCTGCTTAATACTGTTTTCTTGTCATTAACAGTTGTTGAAACGATACTATATCTTCTAGATTCCCTTGGTGTTCATAAAGTCAAATAACTGAATATTCAGTGGCTCTTCAAATGTAGGTAAAATCCCCTGAAAACAATGGAAGGATGTACTTCCCTGATCTGAAAAATGTCTGGCTGACGATGAGTTAATAATGACCATGTCCATTTAAATGTCTTTTTAGAAGACCATGTAAACTGTATGAATAGTTGTACTGGTATGATTTTTTGTTTGTTTTTTCCAGATACAATGCAGCAAGTGCCGGAAATGGTACCATGAAGAGTGCCTGACCTTAAACACCGGAGTGCAGGCCAAAGCAATACAGCCAGAAACATTCCATGCCACTGAGGGACGCTCACGCACAACAACACGGCCTGAAAGTAGTGTGCAGCGTCCGTTATTATAGATCCATGGCAGCGTCCTGCGCGTTAAGGTCGCGGTCTGATATTTCTCTGCACAGACCGAGGTTAATAAATGTTTTATTATATGACTCTCGTCTGTGTCTTTAGCAATGATTTTATGATATTTGTGAAGTATGTTCATGTCCGACTTGGTTTTTTGTGATATGAGCTGTGGACCAATTGTCATGGTAATGGTCCGAGATGGGAAAATATCAGACCGGTAATCAACCAATCAGAGCGCACGTACGGTCCAAGTCATATAATAAATTATATTATTATCCTTCGTGTCCCAGGGCCCTGACCCCCACCTTGGGAACCACTGAACTACTTTGTGTGTATTTACCTCACAGGTGCTTATAAACGCCGACTCCCAATCGTGACGGATTCTATCGAGTTGCTCCACATTGGCCATGTACTGTTTTTCTGACAAAGATGAAAAGACAGAACGACCAAGTTAACGACAAACTTAAGACGTAAACAATGTACAACTAAGTCTAAAAACAATTCTATGTGTATGTTTACACATTATCAGTCATTTCAGGAAATTAAACGCACACATTAGATTTATAGAGTGACAATGATACAACAAAGAAACTCACCAGCTTTCTCTGCCTCTTCTTTGCACAGCTTTGACTTCATTTGTACCTTTAAAAAGACCATGATTCAGTGAAGGCCTGTTAGTGTGTGCGTGTGCGTGTGCGTGTACGTGTATGTGTATGTGTATGTGTATGTGTATGTGTATGTGTGTGTGTGTGTGTGTGCGCGTGTGCGTGTGCGTGCGCGTGTGCGTGCGTGCGTGTGCGCGTGTGCGTGCGTGCGTGTGCGCGTGTGTGTGTGCGCGTGTGCGTGCGTGTGTGTGTGCGTGTATGTATGTGTGTGTGTGTGTGTGTATTGCATTTCAGATATCACTCGTCTAATCCAGTGTTTTTCAACCAGTGTGCCATGGCCCGTTAGTGTGCCTTGAGATTTTGTCTGGTGTGCCTTTGGTCCAATATCATCTGATTGGTCAAAATAATGTGAAAAAAGATTAGAATAGATTTTTACTGGTTTGTTTGACTATGTAAGATTTAAGTAAATTCTTAAATCATGTGCAATACTGCAACTTTGGAATGTCACTTTACTTTATCTACTTATTATCCTGCACTATATGTACAGTATATATCTCCGCACTACTACATATATATATTTTTGACTGGTATGGAAGCATTTACAGCTAGTTAAAAAAACGATATGTTGTGTTATATTGTGTGCTCCCTGTGTGCTCTTACTACTGTCCAGTCTGTGCGCTGCAACATCGACATTTCCCCACTGTGGGACGAATAAAGGAACTCTTTTCTTATCTTATAAAACACTTGACAAGAATAATTTCTTGTTGTTATATTTGTGGCTTTAGAGTTTCAGAGTTTAGAGCTGGTGGTGTGTCCTGCAACTCTTTTAAATGACAAATGCGTCCCACAGCTCAAAAAGGTCTAATCCCAAGAGATGGACTTTACCTTCTCGATAGTCCTCGGGGTCGCTGCAGGAGAGATGGACTTTACCTTCTCGATAGTCCTGAAGGTCGCTGCAGGAGAGATGGACTTTACCTTCTCGATAGTCCTGAAGGTCGCTGCAGGAGAGATGGACTTTACCTTCTTGATAGTCCTGGGGGTCGCTGCAGGAGAGATGGACTTTACCTTCTTGATAGTCCTGGGGGTCGCTGCAGGAGAGATGGACTTTACCTTCTCGATAGTCCTGGGGGTCGCTGCAGGAGAGATGGACTTTACCTTCTCGATAGTCCTGGGGGTCGCTGCAGGAGAGATGGACTTTACCTTCTCGATAGTCCTGGGGGTCGCTGCAGGAGAGATGGACTTTACCTTCTCGATAGTCCTGGGGGTCGCTGCAGGAGAGTTACTCATCTTGTACACGTTTAGCTCAGCTTCGTCTGTGTCTCTGCAGCGAAGCTCATAAAACCTTTTGGACTGAGAGGACGAGAGAACATGTGTCATAGTGTTCTCTTACACCCTACATGTCATTTACACACATTTACACATGCAGGCAACAGGACACGTTTACATCATAGACTGCATTGTTTTCACACGCTGCATCAAGACATGATATTTTCTCACTGTCTGAAAGTAAAACATTGTATTTGTAACAAGTGCAAACAAGTCACAATCTTTGACTTTTTCTACTAGCTTCTTTATTATGCTAAAGCTAGAGATTTTATACTAGCTTGTTTATTATGCTAAAACTAGTGATTTTATACTAGCTTCTTTATTATGCTAAAGCTAGAGATTTTATACTAGCTTCTTTATTATGCTAAAGCTAGAGATTTTATACTATCATATGGCCCTGACCTGTGGAGTACCACAGGGGTCGATCCTGGGACCTCTTCTGTTCAATCTTTACATGTTGCCGTTAGGTCAGTTAATACGCAGAAACAAAGTGTCCTATCACAACTATGCAGACGACACTCAGATCTATGTCTCACTGACTGCAGGAGAACATGGACCAGTGGACTCACTCCTTCACTGTATCCAACAGATCAGTGAGTGGATGCAAAACAACTTCCTTCAGCTAAACGCAGACAAAACTGAAATGATTGTCTTTGGTCCTCAGAAACAAAGAGAGAGCGTCATCTGTCACCTACAGTCTCTCTCCCTGGAACCTTCAAACAAGGTCACAAATCTAGGGGTAATAATGGACTCAGACTTAAATTTTAATAGCCACATCAAATCAGTAACATCAGCAGCTTTTTACCATCTAAAAAACATTGCCAGGATCAAAAACATAGTGTCTAAAGCAGACCTGGAGATTCTTATCCATGCATTTGTCTCCAGTAGGTTAGACTACTGCAATGGCCTGCTCACAGGTCTGTCCAAACAGGCTGTAAAACAGCTGCAGTACATTCAAAATGCAGCAGCTCGAGTCCTGACAAGAACCAGGAAGTACGACCACATTAGTCCAGTCCTCAGGTCTCTGCACTGGCTTCCTGTGGCTCAGAGAATAGACTTTAAAACAGCTCTGCTTGTTACAAGTCTCTCCATAGCCTCGCACCAAAATATATTAGTGACATGTTAGTCCCATATGAACCAGCCCGGACTCTGAGGAGCACAGGGACTGGACTCCTGCTGGGACTCTGAGGAGCACAGGGACTGGACTCCTGCTGGGACTCTGAGGAGCACAGGGACTGGACTCCTGCTGGGACTCTGAGGAGCACAGGGACTGGACTCCTGCTGGGACTCTGAGGAGCACAGGGACTGGACTCCTGCTGGGACTCTGAGGAGCACAGGGACTGGACTCCTGTTAGTGCCCAGAGTCATAACTAAACATGGGGAGGCTGCTTTTCAGATTCATGCTGCTAAAATCTGGAACAGTCTTCCTGAAGATGTGAGACAGGCCTCCTCTCTGACAATGTGTAAAACCAAGTTAAAAACGGTGCTGTTCAGCTGTGCTACAACTGAGGGATTTTATATTTTGATCTTTCGTTTTAATGTTCTGTGATTATTTATGATTTTAATGCTATCTTGTTCAGCACTTTGAGTTGCCTTGTGTATGAATTGTGCTATACAAATAAACTTGCCTTGCCTTGCCTTGCCTTGCCTTACTAGCTTCTTTATTATGCTAAAGCTAGAGATTTTATACGTCTTTATTCTTTATATTATTGAGAATGTATTTCATTATAGTATAGAGTTATTGCTCATTTATCTTGTGTGTTGTGTGCTTCTCCTTCCTACTGTTCTGTGACTGGTGATGCAACACTGACATTTCCCCCTCCCTAAATGTGAGTATGAACACATGACACTATTCTGCGGTTTCCACAAACTCAAAGGTCGTTTGCTCGATACTCACATCAATCGTCTTCTTGAAATGTGAGACTTTATTTTTCTGGACCTTCTCCACGACACAGTCAAACTGCAAAGAGAGCAGAGTTATTCCAGTGTCCAGATGATGGTGATGAAGATGATGGAGATGAAGATGATGGTGATGAAGATGGTGATGAAGATGATGGTGATGAAGATGAGGCAGACCTTTCTCCTCTGCTCCTTCTGTCGCTCTCTGAACTCCTCCATCCTCTTCGCCTCCTCCCGCAGAACCAGGGACAGCTGCATGTGCTGCTTCCCCACGTTTTCCATTTCTGAGAAGCACGTCTACATACTGACCACTATCCCATCAGAAGCACTTGTACAACCTCTACAGTGACTTGTACTTACGTTTTTTCAACTCATCAAAAGAGCTTCTCAATGTGCTGGAAAAGAATGGAACCATGAACATTTCTGAAACTGCCAGTCAAAAGTACATAATAATGACTTTACCATATCTCCGAAAGGCCTCCAGCTTTGTGGGCGATGCTTACCAGCTCCTTGCCATATTTCTCTTCAGCCGAAGCCCTGAGTGAAGAAAACCACATCAATGCGGTGATAGGTGACCCAAAACAAAAGAGAAAATGCTCAAAAAAGCTCACCTCATTTTCAACAATTCCTCCAAGTCTTTGCACGTCCTGCGACCATCCCCGATTCTCTGAGTCAAAGCCTCATACCCAGCATTACTGATAAAATCTGCATTCTAAAATAGCAGTAAGAGTACTAATAATTTCATACTGAGAACTAATTTGAACCAATCATGACACTAATCTGTTGTTTGCTTGTTGGTTGGATATAATGAATGAGTTAAAATCAAAGAAAATCTTCTATTGTGTTTAACAGATTGCTGCTGTTCAAGGAAGTGCAAATTGATTATTTAACAACAGAATCAAGTGTTGCAACGTGGGGCATATCTCACTCACACTAAAAGACAGGACAGACAGATCCTCAGACAGAAGCTGCACTAAAGATATATCTGAGTTTAACCTCACAAAGAACAGACAACTCACCCAAAAACAGTCCTTAAAGGGTAACGCCATGTCGGTTTGTGTTAACGGTGTTCGAGTCAATGAAATGTGACCGGAGACGAGCCTCTGTCCTGCGGCAGAGAACAGAGAGGAACCACAGTCAATGAGGCACGCAAAAGAGGAAACACTTCACACAACTGCCCCCGCCTCAGCCAATAACTGCACCAACTGCCCCCGCCTCAGCCACCAACTGCACCAACTTCCCCCGCCTAATTCACCGCCTCAGCAACCAACTGCCCCCGCCTCAGCCAATAACTGCATCAACTGCCCCCGCCTCAGCCAATAACTGCACCAACTGCCCCCGCCTCAGCCACCAACTGCACCAACTGCCCCCGCCTCAGCCAATAACTGCACCAACTGCCCCCGCCTCAGCCACCAACTGCATCAACTGCCCCCGCCTCAGCCAATAACTGCACCAACTTCCCCCGCCTAATTCACCGCCTCAGCAACCAACTGCCCCCGCCTCAGCCAATAACTGCACCAACTGCCCCCGCCTCAGCCAATGACTGCACCAACTGCCCCCGCCTAATTCACCGCCTCAGCCACCAACTGCCCCCGCCTCAGCCAATAACTGCACCAACTGCCCCCGCCTCAGCCAATGACTGCACCAACTGCCCCCGCCTAATTCACCGCCTCAGCCACCAACTGCCCCCGCCTCAGCCAATAACTGCACCAACTGCCCCCGCCTCAGCCAATAACTGCACCAACTGCCCCCGCCTCAGCCAATGACTGCACCAACTGCCCCCGCCTAATTGACCGCCTCAGCCACCAACTGCCCCCGCCTCAGCCAATAACTGCACCAACTGCCCCCGCCTCAGCCAATAACTGCACCAACTTCCCCCGCCTAATTCACCGCCTCAGCAACCAACTGCCCCCGCCTCAGCCAATAACTGCACCAACTGCCCCCGCCTCAGCCAATGACTGCACCAACTGCCCCCGCCTAATTCACCGCCTCAGCCACCAACTGCCCCCGCCTCAGCCAATAACTGCACCAACTGCCCCCGCCTCAGCCAATGACTGCACCAACTGCCCCCGCCTAATTGACCGCCTCAGCCACCAACTGCCCCCGCCTCAGCCAATAACTGCACCAACTGCCCCCGCCTCAGCCAATAACTGCACCAACTGCCCCCGCCTAATTCACCGCCTCAGCCACCAACTGCCCCCGCCTCAGCCAATAACTGCACCAACTGCCCCCGCCTCAGCCAATGACTGCACCAACTGCCCCCGCCTAATTCACCGCCTCAGCCACCAACTGCCCCCGCCTCAGCCAATAACTGCACCAACTGCCCCCGCCTCAGCCAATAACTGCACCAACTGCCCCCGCCTCAGCCAATGACTGCACCAACTGCCCCCGCCTAATTGACCGCCTCAGCCACCAACTGCCCCCGCCTCAGCCAATAACTGCACCAACTGCCCCCGCCTCAGCCAATAACTGCACCAACTTCCCCCGCCTAATTCACCGCCTCAGCAACCAACTGCCCCCGCCTCAGCCAATAACTGCACCAACTGCCCCCGCCTCAGCCAATAACTGCACCAACTTCCCCCGCCTAATTCACCGCCTCAGCAACCAACTGCCCCCGCCTCAGCCAATAACTGCACCAACTGCCCCCGCCTCAGCCAATGACTGCACCAACTGCCCCCGCCTAATTCACCGCCTCAGCCACCAACTGCCCCCGCCTCAGCCAATAACTGCACCAACTGCCCCCGCCTCAGCCAATGACTGCACCAACTGCCCCCGCCTAATTCACCGCCTCAGCCACCAACTGCCCCCGCCTCAGCCAATAACTGCACCAACTGCCCCCGCCTCAGCCAATAACTGCACCAACTTCCCCCGCCTAATTCACCGCCTCAGCAACCAACTGCCCCCGCCTCAGCCAATAACTGCACCAACTGCCCCCGCCTCAGCCAATGACTGCACCAACTGCCCCCGCCTAATTCACCGCCTCAGCCACCAACTGCCCCCGCCTCAGCCAATAACTGCACCAACTGCCCCCGCCTCAGCCAATAACTGCACCAACTGCCCCAGCTCAGCCACCAACTTCCCCCGCCTCATTCACCGCCTCAGCCCCCAACTGCACCAACTGCCCCCCCTCAGCCAATAACTGCACCAACTGCCCCCGCCTCAGCCAATAACTGCACCAACTGCCCCCGCCTCAGCCAATGACTGCACCAACTGCCCCCGCCTCAGCCAATGACTGCACCAACTGCCCCCGCCTCATTCACCGCCTCAGCCGCCAACTGCCCCCGCCTCAGCCAATAACTGCACCAACTGCCCCCGCCTCAGCCAATAACTGCACCAACGGCCCCCGCCTCATGTACCGCCTCAGCCCCCAACTGCACCAACTGCCCCCGCCTCATTAACTGCCCCAAGGCGGCACGGTGGCTGAGTGGATAGCACTCTCGCCTCTCAGCAAGAAGGTCCTGGGTTTGAATTCCGGTTGGACCAGGGCCTTTCTGAGTGGAGTTTGCATGTTCTCCCCGTGTCTGCGTAGGTTTCCTCCGGGTACTCCAGTTTCCCCTACCACTAAAAACATTCACAATAGTTCTGGCATGTGCCTCCTGTGCTGGCCCCGCTCCCTTCTCTGTGCGGAGCCAGAGACTAATTCCCAAAATAATAACAATTGTAAACTGCTTTGAGACTCTGATCTGCAGTGAAAAGGCGGTATATAAATAATTATTATATGACTTGGACCGTACGTGCGCTCTGATTGGCTGATTACCGGTCTGATATTTTCCCATCTCGGACCGTTACCATGACAATCGGTCCGCAGCGCGTATCACACAAAACCAAGTTGGACATGAACATACTTCACAAATATCATAAAAGCATTGATAAAGACACAGACGAGAGTCATAATAAAACATTTATTAACCTCGGTCTGTGCAGAGAAATATCAGACCTTGGCCTTAATGCACAGACCTCGCC